ATTTAGAACAGTTATATACATCTGAAACATTATTTCATTTTTTTCAAATCTTATAATTCCCGCTGATTTTGTGAAATATCCAATAGAGTGATGAATAGATGAGTGAAAAAATATTGGTTACCTAATCAAAAATGTAATAACCCAATTAAAATAGAAACCAAAGAGTAAAAACTGAATTGCTCAAAAAGTTATCTGGAGCTCTGAACATCTTTAGGATTTTCTTGATGACTCAGTGAATGTCGTAGAGTGAACGGGTGCAGGCACCGAGCATGGTGGTGAGTAGATTCTTTAAAATATACGAAGGCTGGCTGAAATGTTCTAAGCCTAACTGTGAAAGACCCGTATCAAGTCGATGGTTTTCCTTTATTTCTCCACATAGTCCCCTTCCAGGTTTACAAATGTTTGCCAGCGATGCTGCAAGGCCTGGATGCCGGTCAAGAAGAAATTTTCTTCAGCCACCCTAAAAAAGTCATTCACAGCGGAAATGACGTCATCATTACTAGGAAAATGGCGACCGGCTAGTTCCTTTTTCATTTTGGGAAACAGGTGGAAGTCAGACGGGGCCAAATCGGGGGAATAAGGGGGATGGTCAATGAGTTCGAAGCCACAATCATGGATCGCTGACATGGCAACCACCAATTTGTGAACAGGAGCCTTGTCTTGGTGGAACAGGACTCCTTTAGTGAGCATTCCCCATCGCTTAGCTTTCATAGCTTCACGCAACTGTCTCAGTAGGTTAGCATAATATCTTCTATTGATAGTCTGGCCTTTTTCAAGATAGTCAATCAGCAGAATACCCTTGGAATCCCAAAAGACTGAAGCCATCACCTTTCCAGCAGAAGGAACCGACTTGGCTTTTGGGGTGGCTGGTGATTCCGGATGCTTCCATTGTTTACACTGAATTTTGGTTTCTGGTTGAAAGTGATGAATCCAGGTCTCATCCATGGTTACAAATCGGGCCAAAAAATCATCGGGATCTGCTTCAAAACAGCATAAATTGTCACGGAATGTCAGGAATCTGACACGTTTCTGATCCGCTGTTAAGAGCTTTGGCACCCATCTTGCAGAAACTTTTGTCATTTCCAACTCGGTGATAATGTGCTCAACCCTCTCAGGAGAGATGCCCACAACACTGGCAATATGTCGAGTGGCCAATCGTCGATCAGCCATCACCATGTCATGCACCCGGGGAATGTTTTCTGGAATGGTTGCTGTTGAAGGCCTTCCTGGACGCGGTTCATCGTCAAGGCTCTCTCTGCCATGCTTGAATTCCACAGTCCACTTCTTTACAGTGGAAAAGGCAGGGGCAACATCCCCTAAAGTGGAGACCATGTCAGCATGTATCTGTGTTGGAGTTAGCCCTTTCAGTTGCAGGTACTTGATGACTGCCCTATAGCCAGTTTTGTCCATTTCTGGTGATTTCAATGGGTAGGTTCACAAGATGGTCTGGTACAAAGACAATAATAACACTACAGTTGCAGTTCTTATGTCTATGATTCATTCAATGATTGATTGTACTTGTTGGTGGCAAAAGTTTGTTTCAATCCGATTGAGATATCCCACTTAGGCTTAGAACTTTTCAGCCAGCCCTTGTAATTCAACTTTGATAGGGATGATAGAACATTGTTATCTTGATTTCCGCAGTATGTCTCAGACAGGTGGCCTCCACAGATGATGGCATGTTGTAAAGTGAATGGGAGTGTGTGCTGAAATCTGATTGGTTGAAACACAGTGTGCTGGCATCCCCCTAGAAATCTGTCATAAGTTTGTTGAAATTATCTTGATATTCTCAATGCAGAATTGAACAACAATGTGACATTTGGCTTGGAGAAATGGTTACTCCATTAATTAGATATTATTAAATGTGATAAATATTTGAATTATTTTTTTCCCCCACATTCTACCTACCTGGTGGGTTCAGTTAACATGGGGCGGTGGGGTAGCCTAGTGGTTAAAGTGTTCACTTGTCACACCGAAGACCTGTGAAGATCCATGGATTGCATGGATCCATGCTCATGATGTCAATCATTGCATTGTCTGGTCCAGACTCAATTTTTAACAGACTGCCGTCAAATAGCTGGAATATTGCTGAGTGCGGTGTTACACAACAAACAAACACACCGAAGACCCGAGTTTGATTCCCCCACATGGGTACAATTTGTAAAGCCTATTTCTGGTGTCCCCGCCATGATATTGCTGGAATATTGCTAAAAGTGTCGTTAAACCATACTCACTCACTCACTCATCTGTGAGAGCTCATGTGGAAGGTGTGAGGTACAGAACATGACAACTTCTCAGTCTCACAATGGCGATGAACATAATGTGTTTTCAGATTCGCCGTTGTTATACATTCAACCAGTAGTCAATGCAAGGAACTTGGACACCTCACTCAAAAATACCGTTTCCATGGTTACTGTATTAGTATATAATGAATGAATGAATGAATGAATGAATGAATGAATGAATGAATGAATGAATGACGTCACTGTGAACTACTTCCCCTCATTAGTCTGCCTCCATCTCCAGACTCTGGATAGTGTTGTCCGCAATCTTTCCGTTATTGATATCAATTACTGGGCTCTTCTTATCATAAGTTGCCATAGCAACTGATTAATGTTGACTGCCAAGCAGTATTTCTCCAAGATGAGATCTCCAACAAATCCATGATGCTTATTGACAACAATAGCGAGTTGGACCTGGATGTGATAGCCTTGTTGAAGGTGGCACTGCTCCGTAGCTTCTGTGGAAAAAACCCTGAACTAACGAGTTGACTACTTGTTGTGTATCACTCTTACTTGATCATGAAGCAGTGGATTTCCTTGCTGAATAGGCTTGAATTTTGTGGCTCAATCATAGCGCCAGAAGTGGCTATTACGAGTTATGTGAACTTATATCCCTTTTATGTCCCTCCTATTGACCAATCAGATTCCTCCTCTCATATCACTTGCCTTTGCTTCAAACAAATCATTTGAGCACCTAGATAGAAAACATGAAAATATTTGGAAAATATCTGTCGACGCTCAATTGACAGTACACATCCTTTTCAAATCCTGCCCCAAATTCGGGGCGTTGAAATCCATGTTGTTTATGAACAGGATGTCTAGTTTGTTACACAGTTTTGATTGGACTATGCATAGACTCATTTGTCCAGCTAAAATGTAACTCCTGAATTCCAGCCAAGGTCGGCAAGGGTGGAAACTGGACTTCTTTAGTCAGTTAACTCCCTTGACTCAAGAAGATGATGGTTCCCTCATCCAGTGGGAGTGTTGACAGTTTCTTTTGCCCTCAGGGATATTTTGCCAAGGATGATGCATGTTTGTGGTTGCTATGTAGATAGTCGAAGTGTTGATAGTGGTTTTTTTATGCATGCTGCATTATTGATGGACATTATTGAAGTGTTGTGCTGTGAGCATGATAAGTTTCTGCCTTGTATTCACCACATATCAATGTGATACAAGCGTTGACAGATAGTATGTCACAACCCAAGAGAATATGTTTATGAATATTTGTGAATGGTTGCTATGTGCACACATTTTGAAGAGCTTTCTGTGTGTTGTGGAGTAACAGGCTGGAGGGGGTTACATTTGTTTGTAGATGCTGTTGGGAATGCATATGATGGTGCTGGTTATCTGTCTCTGTGCCACAGGGAGTATTTATTTTCTTAATGTTCATCGTCTTGTCTTGGTCTGTGTCTATGAGTGTTCATCAATGCTGTTCATGGCCCTTGTCACTGGGCATTGGCAGCCTCAGGGTAATGTTTGTGAAGTCAGCATGTTTTCACCAGTTACGATGTGTTGATGAGATATTTCCTGTTTTGAGAAGTTATGATGTTGTGATGGTGAGATACCTCTTAATTTGAGAGGTTAGGATTGTGTGATGGTGAGATAATCTCCTTTTTTGAGAAGTTACGATGTTGTGATGGTGAGATAATCTCCTGTTTTGAGAAATTACAATGTTGTGATGGTGAAATAATCTTCTGTTTTGAGCTGTTACGAGTTGTGATGGTGAGATAATCTCCTGTTTTGAGAAATTACAATGTTGTGATGGTGAGATAATCTTCTGTTTTGAGCTGTTACGAGTTGTGATGGTGAGATAATCTCCTGTTTTGAGAAATTACAATGTTGTGATGGTGAGATAATCTTCTGTTTTGAGCTGTTACGAGTTGTGATGGTGAGATAATCTCCTGTTTTGAGAAATTACAATGTTGTGATGGTGAGATAATCTTCTGTTTTGAGCTGTTACGAGTTGTGATGGTGAGATAATCTCCTGTTTTGAGAAATTACAATGTTGTGATGGTGAGATAATCTTCTGTTTTGAGCTGTTACGAGTTGTGATGGTGAGATAATCTCCTGTTTTGAGAAGTTCAATGTTGTGTTGGTGGGATAATCTTCTGTTTTGAGCTGTTAGAGGTTGTGATGGTGAGATAATCCCCTGTTTTGAGAAGTTAAGATGTGGTGGTGAGATATCTCCTGTTTTGAGAAGTTAAGATGTTGTGATGGTGAGATATCTCCTGTTTTGAGAAGTTAAGATGTTGTGATGGTGAGATAATCTCCTGTTTTGAGAATTTATGATGTTGTGTTGGTGAGATAATCTCCTGTTTTGAGAAGTTACAATGTTGTGATGGTGAGATAATCTCCTGTTTTGAGAATTTATGATGTTGTGATGGTGAGAAAATCTCCTGTTTGAGACGATGTGTTGGTGAGATAATCTCCTGTTTTGAGAAGTTACGATGTTGTGATGGTGAGATAATTTCCTGTTTGAGACGTTGTGTTGGTGAGATAATCTCCTGTTTTGAGAAGTTCAATGTTGTGATGGTGAAATAATCTTCTGTTTTGAGAAGTTATGATGTTGTGAATGAGAGAAAATCTCCTGTTTTGAGAATTTATGATGTTGTGGTGGTGAGATATCTCCTGTTTTGAGAAGTTAAGATGTTGTGATGCTGAGATAATCTCCTGTTTTGAGAAGTTCAGTGTTGTGATGGTGAGATAATCTCCTGTTTTGAGAATTTATGATGTTGTGTTGGTGAGATAATCTCCTGTTTTGAGAAGTTACGATGTTGTGATGGTGAGATAATCTCCTGTTTTGAGAATTTATGATGTTGTGATGGTGAGAAAATCTCCTGTTTTGAGAAGTTATGATGTTGTGATGGTGAGATAATTTCTTGTTTGAGACGTTGTGTTGGTGAGATAATCTCCTGTTTTGAGAAGTTCAATGTTGTGATGGTGAGATAATCTCCTGTTTTGAGAATTTATGATGTTGTGTTGGTGAGATAATCTCCTGTTTTGAGAAGTTACGATGTTGTGATGGTGAGATAATTTCCTGTTTGAGACGTTGTGTTGGTGAGATTATCTCCTGTTTTGAGAAGTTCAATGTTGTGATGGTGAAATAATCTCCTGTTTTGAGAAGTTATGATGTTGTGATGGTGAGAAAATCTCCTGTTTTGAGAATTTATGATGTTGTGGTGGTGAGATATCTCCTGTTTTGAGAAGTTAAGATGTTGTGATGCTGAGATAATCTCCTGTTTTGAGAAGTTACGATGTTGTGATGGTGAGATAATTTCCTGTTTGAGACGTTGTGTTGGTGAGATAATCTCCTGTTTTGAGAAGTTACGATGTTGTGATGGTGAGATAATCTCCTGTTTTGAGAAGTTACGATGTTGTGATGGTGAGATAATTTCCTGTTTGAGACGTTGTGTTGGTGAGATAATCTCCTGTTTTGAGAAGTTCAGTGTTGTGATGGTGAAATAATCTCCTGTTTTGAGAAGTTATGATGTTGTGATGGTGAGAAAATCTCCTGTTTTGAGAATTTATGATGTTGTGATGGTGAGATATCTCCTGTTTTGAGAAGTTAAGATGTTGTGATGCTGAGATAATCTCCTGTTTTGAGAAGTTACGATGTTGTGATGGTGAGATAATTTCCTGTTTGAGACGTTGTGTTGGTGAGATAATCTCCTGTTTTGAGAAGTTCAGTGTTGTGATGGTGAAATAATCTTCTGTTTTGAGAAGTTATGATGTTGTGAAGGTGAGATATTTCCTGTTTTGAGAAGTTACGATGTTGTGATAGTGAAATGTTTCCTATTTTGAGAAATGCTGAGGTGATCTCTCAAATCAAGTAGACCATGTCGGCCAAACGTGATAAGCACACCAGAACTTTGCACTTCGAGGATGAAGGCCGAGGAGACACACAGAACAAGGTCTCAACTAAGTCAATCAAAGGGGATATTCTCGACTCTGACTCAAATCGCTTGAGTAGGTTGTTGTCATGGCGCTGTGTTCTGTCCCATCCAAGACTCGTCACTGGTGAGGTAAAGCTTGATGACTTTGTTCCGTTCTGTCTGAACTTGAGGAAGGTGGACGGCATCGCGAGACCTGCAGTGGTGAGTGGGGCAGCGACATCTGTCTTGAGTTTGTTTGTGTACTGTGCACATATTGTCACCGCCGTGACTGTCTTATGTCGTTTTGAAGAAATGGGAATTATGATCCTCTTAGTTCTTAGGTCACTTTGTTGAATGGGGCTTTGTCCATACTTACGCAGTCATAGTGCTAAGAGGGTCATTTATCCCTTATCTCAACATAGACTTTTGACATTCATTGCGCTCAGATGTCTATTGAACGAAGTACAGCAAGAATGAAGGGGTGAAGTGTAACCTTAGGTTCCGGGTACGTTACCCTTCTACCTATGGTCACTTCTACTTATCAACTACTCCTTGGTTCTAGGGATGATGTAGCTATCTCAAAATCACAAGTCCGATGGTTTGCTCCAGTCCTTTTTATTTATGATAGAGTTAATCATAAATACACACACATGGTCCTCAGATATATTCTTGTTGTTGCCTGATATAAATACAACACATACCTAGATGATGGTTGAAGAGCCTGATGGTTTTTCTGATGAACGTTAACTCTACTTCTTTTCTGACTCGGGATCCCAAAACCACAGTGAACCGTTCTGTTCAGCTGTATGCTCCCGACTCCCCGCACCAATCTCGGACAACTCACAAAATACTATCGATGATAATTTTAGCTCCTCCCTCCAAAATCACATTTGACATCATGAGAAATGAGTCATAATGGTCATTCCCCAATTTCAATAGTAATTAGTTTTATCATCAAGCCCTTTGGTCTAACCAATTTGATTACCTCTCTAGGGTCATTGGTCAACTCGGACATACTCATGTAATCAAATACCCTCAAGTACTCTGCCAGACTGGAAGGCACCAAAAAGATACTTAATCATGTTATTTTGACATTCTAATCAAGCAGTAATACTCATAAATATTTGATCACCACAAGACTAACAATTTTGTTCCATCTATCTATCTCCCTTCTGACATTTTTATTGCAAGACCAATTCTCCTAATTCATTGTACTAATGAAAAGTAAACTCTATCACTTAAGAGAAGCAAAACCAATAATCACTTGCCCCAGGAGTTGTTGCCCTGACCCTGTACGGTCACTTCTCTCATATGCATCCATATTTTACCCAAAAGCTTCATTTAGTAAACTACATTTTAAGTAAATATTAAAAACCCCTTTTTCCAAAATACCCTGGTTATACATGCCCTTCCCGTTGTAGAGCATGTCCCATGCGATTGACCAATGATAATAGAATATAAGATGTAATTACAATAGTACAATATCAATATGTAACAACTTGTGTGTGTATGTATCTGAGGACCAGAAAAATCAATACAATGAAATTTTACAAGGTAATGTCTCAGATAGGATCTGTCTTGGGTTGTACCTATCTGAGAATAATAACATGCCAAGACTTATAAAGGCATAATCAAATTATGTTTCTTTGTAAAGTTTTTGCTTTTTCTATATAAAGACATATGAGCATTTTCCTTCAGGCAAAAAATCACAATAGTATCACAACACCAATAACCAACTGATGATCAGTTTCAGAGTACTGTGTATCCAATACATAATCTTACTATTCTGTAACATCAACATGTTCCATGTCCGTATGTTCTAGAACATATTCAACTTACTCTGACTCTTATGGTCTCGATCCAATGGGAAAAGTTCTCCATATCAAATGATCAAAAATGTCCTATTACATGTGGAAGTTTATTTAGAAATGATCCTCTCCATCATCTTATAGAATGAGGATGTTTATTCCTACATGTATGACAGCGAAAACTTTGACTCTGATGTCCAAAAGAGTTAATTGTCCAAAATTCAGTCATTTGTAAATCAAATAGGAAATTACTTTAAATTCATGTATTACACTCCATGAAGTCCTCTTTAACTGAAGATTACAAGAGTTTGCTCTTATAATTTCTCAAGTAAATGTTGAAATTTAGCTTCAGCATCTGTACACAGTAAACAAACGACATCTCGACTCAATAATCACAATAGTATTTGGTTTTTTTCAATATCTAAACAACATCAACTTATCGTAAAGTCACTGGACATGCACCTACATAGAATATTGTCAAATGTCTCATTGGGCAGTGATCGCACATGCAATCTATCAACTCCTGAGGTGCAATACAATGCACCATATACAACATCCTGGTAACATATAACAGAAAGATTTTCTATCATGAAATTTAACATATGTTTTTCTCATATGGTAGGTGTACCCATTCATATATATTATAAATAAATGCATATAGGTAAGCACAAAAGCATTAAACATGTAGTAAAAGTAACATCTTGATTACAGTAAAACAATCAACATTTATACAAGAGGACACTAGTATGTCTGAGATCACTTAAATTTCCAAAACTGTGACATTTCAATGCTCTCCTTATTTTGATAGTCTGCCTTAAATGTCGGAAAGGTATCAACTCAGGTGATAGTACATTTTGTAATAACTTATATATTCCTGTGCTCAACTGATTAATCTTCCTTTCAACCATAGTAGCAAAATGTAACTCCTTTGCAACCAGTTGTATCCAATGTGCATACATGGCCTGAAACCATCGTATCTTAGCATCCTCTACCTTTATCAGTTCAGTCAATTCATTATGCAATTATACCTTGCTTCAAACCATCCATTCTGTCATTGGCCTTAGACATGTACGAACCCATGTAATCCTGTGACACATTAAAAGCTGCTTCTTCCGCTCTCATTCTGTTTGATAAGATATTGATATGTTGACGTATTATGTTCACATCACTGTCACGGCGGTACCAAATAAATTATGTGAGAATTCACCAGTAAAAAGTAGTAAAGCTCTCTTAGAGCTAGTCTGTGAACTAACAGTTTGACCTTGAAGAATAATATTTCTGATCAAAGTAACCCCTTCTAACATGTCTTTGAAAGTGTCGTCATGTATGCGATAAATATAATTCAATACAGCCCTCATGTTCTCATCACAGGACGTGCGATTCCTTAGAAGACTAGCATTCTGACAAATCTCTCGAGGCAGAGTCGGATAGTTAGAGATCTTGGGCAATTCAATAGCAAACGTATGATACCACGTCTGTTCGTATGTTAAGTCGTCCCATATATCTGAAGGTATTACCCCAGAGATAGATATCCGGAATACATGTCGTCAAAGGTACTGAGTTCCACATCATGAGTAGTGTCATCATAGCTTTAAGTGCGAAGCCTAAGGGTCCTTTAGAACGCAAACATCCAAGTTGTCTCTCAGATTTTAAATCTGATCTCAGTTCCTACTCTGTTATCCCTATGAAGCCATATCTTCCCTAAGTGAAAACAATAAACAACAATCCCAATTGATCGTCACCAATGTACCATACAACATATTACTCTCTCATAAATAATGTCTACCAACATTAAGTTAACCGCAGAACACAGCGCTTATGTTCATACAGTTCCAGTTCATGTGTCAATAATATGCTGTACTTGTGGGTCAGTTGAATATTTTTAAGTTAAAAGGCCTTGTTTTTAAACAACTTCTGATTTCTTACATCTTCAATCCCAGTAATATATAACTGTATGTCCCTTTTCACTCCTATCGTTGTGTCTTTATCTGTGTCAGCATCATAACTCATGAAAAAAACAACCTCTTTAATATTCCGTCTGTACTCTCTTCAAACATTTCCTCTCCTCAACAGGAGGTATACAACAGCCTTCTGACTAGGCAAAACCCTTCTGTACAAATATGATTGGCCAATCATCTACATCCCACGACCGATTTATAGGTCTTCACCCAGGCTACGAGACAAATCGACCCTCTGTCCTTCGTCCCGAGTGAATTCATCGTTAGTCTTTCGACTGTCCTCAACATACTCAGCAACTTGAGGTAGAAACATATCTACCTCACCACTAGAGACTGTCAGGCATCTCTAGACTTGATCTTTCAAGCTTTGAAACAGCATAGGCATTTCCTCATCTATGTGTTTATATTCAAATAACGTAGGCATGTCTCCTCTACGTCCCTGTCGACATTATTACTACGTGGGCATGTCTCCTCCACGGCTTGACAGCGTAGGCATGTGACCTCTACGACTTACTATCTTTTCATATCTACGTAGGCATGTTACCTCTACGACGTTGTTCATCATCTCATATCTGCGTAGGCATGTTACCTCTACGACTTTTCATTATCATCCTTGATTTCCTATCTGGGTACCCATTTACACATGACACTATAACTTGGGACTAAAACCAACTTGTTATCATAACCTTGGATCTACATATCCTCCGTATATCATATACCTATATGATTGTCACACTTCCTTACGTGCAGTTCTATTGTTTACTTTTTGTTGTTTTCTTTCTTCACTTTCCCTGTCATTGTTCTTCTGACATGGAAAACCTCCACAATTTCTGAATTGAGAAACTCACTTAGGACCCCTTTCGCTTTTCGAGACACCCGGACTTGGTATCTCATTCCTCTACGACTTATCAACTCCCATTTCATATTTGGATATCCATATTCCCGTCAATCAATGAGTCTTGTCAATATCAACATGGTTGAATGCTTTGTCACCTGTGGTGATAGGCATGGTATGTGTGTTGTCACTGTCTTCTAACTCTCCACACACATTGGCAATATCGACTTCTTCAATGACACCTATTGCTAACTTAATCTCTGAACTAGCAGGGTTCATCAACCTAAACAATGGTACTTGATTGACAGATGAAGTGAGATATCTAGCACCTCACACATGTAACCATTCTGCAATAGACTCAATCGGCTCAACAACGCCTAACTTAATGTACACCGGCAACAAAGTTTCATGTGTGGTGGTGGTACCACATCACATATACATGTAACAAGGTTGGTATTAATCTGAATAGGCAATGAAATTTGTCTCTGTAAGTCCATCCTACAAAGTCAACCAATTATGGCTAACATCAATGCTAGCCTCTGGCTTCTCAAGAAATCTAAGCCTAACAACACATCAATTGATAAGGCTAAAAGACCTGAAAGTCCTGTACAACACATAGCTGACCAACTGTAAGAGGAATTGTAGATACACCTAACACATCTAATGGTTTCCCATCTGCACCAACCAATGACCTTACACCTCATTTTGTTATAGGAAATCTACTCTCACCTCCAATAGATGAGAATACATTTGAATTCATACAGCTCAAAGTTTCACCTGAGTCCCATAGGGCACTGTAAGTCTTTCCAGATATCTTTACCCTAATACTGCTGTGAGATAAGCCCACACTACAAGTCAAAACAACAACCTCGCTCAAATCACTTATCATTTCTATGATCTGGTTCTGTATTATTTCTCATTGTAAAAGAGTGGCCTATGATGTTACCAACATTATCAAAATCAATATTTGCTATATTGGCGGCAGGCTCAAATCCACATGTAGCACTGCCCCTGTTAACCCTTGCATATGTTTGGCTTAATTAGAAAAGTAGAATCTGCTTAGGTGCCCTATCATACAGCATTGAAAACATTGCATAGATCTCACAAGACTCTCAGACATACTAAAATGTGTCCCTACCTCATTGTCCACAAATGTTCCATAATTGTGGTTGTGACACTCTATGCTCCTCATTGCTCATATTCCTTGGAGCAGGGCTCCAGTTTTGTCCACAGGGCACATCATTGTCACTCATGTCCCTGATATCAACATGTGTTGATGCACAACCACTTCTGTTATGTTGATGGAATGTTTGTGTCCCGTTCTTCACTGTTTGTTGGTCATCAGTACACTCAGTCCGAGTTTTAATGTACTGTTTTCTGTACATAGAGTCATCCTGATGCTCATATGAAAAGTTCCCTCCTGTTCGAGTATTTTCTGCACTGGTCAGTAAGGATACTTGTCCAACGAGCTCCTCTATAACAGACACAAGTCTGTTATTCTCTGATGTGGCCAGTCCAAATGCAGCATCTGCTATTCTCGCACTTTCCAGGACTTGATCCTTGGTCTCATGCAATCTTGTCAAAATGAACTGTTTAATGTGAGGTTGAGAATTCCTAATGACGGCATCCATGAGACAGTTGTCGTCCAGTCTATCAAGACGTTTTGCCTCATATTGCAATTCTTAAAGAAAGTCCTCAAAATCCTCAGACTGTTTCTGTTTCCTATTATAAAGCTTGTCTAGTCTTTCATATCTTTTTGCTGAATTTAGTTTGTACCTTGCAAGGAAAGCTGTCTTCACCTCATTCCAGGAATTGTCACTAAAGTCCTGAGCTTCATGCCACTTTAAAGCATTTTTGTCTAACCATAAACCAAATGCTGTCTTTGTCCATTCTTCTGAATAATTATGTAAAGAATTAAATTTCTCATATCTGCTTAACCATGAACTTGCAATTTCTGGATCACTTCCATTGAATTTCTCAAGAGAAAACTGACTTAGGGAAAAAGCCCTTGCTAAAGCAGCAAATCTCTTGTCTAATTTGTCCTTATTTCCAAGTCCTCCTGAAAATAAACTGTCATTTGTCTCTGTAATATCAGAGGCAGAACAATTTTCATTGTCATGAAACATTTTGAATCACTTTGGTTCTCCTCTGACAATATGTCCAAAATCAACATAATAATTCTCGTGCTCATTGTTGGTGATGAGATAATAACAGTCCTATAATACTGCAGAAAGTTCCTATGCACACTAGCGTGCAGCAAGGGTCCTCCATCAGTGTGACTGTCCCACACTAGAAAATCAATATCACTGTTAGGGTAGTAGCCGTACTACCAAAGAAATCAATAACACAGTCTCTTCATGGGAAACTGACCACCCCACGGCTTTCAGACAGTGAACCATAGTCCCGCTGGTGAGCATAGTTCACAAATACAAGGGCAAAACACATCCCTCACAATCAATTAGCGCTTTACAGGACATCACCTACCGTGAATGGCAAATAGCATCGGCTCATGTCAGGCAAACAACCATCAAGTGTACATCAACTCAGCTGCAGGTGCAAACCGTTCAAACTTGTGATGAGCATGGTACGGTGATCTTAGAGCAACTCCGCCATATGTAACCTTAGGTTCCGGGTACGTTACCCTTCTACCTATGGTCACTTCTACTTATCAACTACTCCTTGGTTCTAGGGATGATGTAGCTATCTCAAAATCACAAGTCCGATGGTTTGCTCCAGTCCTTTTTATTTATGATAGAGTTAATCATAAATACACACACATGGTCCTCAGATATATTCTTGTTGTTGCCTGATATAAATACAACACATACCTAGATGATGGTTGAAGAGCCTGATGGTTTTTCTGATGAACGTTAACTCTACTTCTTTTCTGACTCGGGATCCCAAAACCACAGTGAACCGTTCTGTTCAGCTGTATGCTCCCGACTCCCCGCACCAATCTCGGACAACTCACAAAATACTATCGATGATAATTTTAGCTCCTCCCTCCAAAATCACATTTGACATCATGAGAAATGAGTCATAATGGTCATTCCCCAATTTCAATAGTAATTAGTTTTATCATCAAGCCCTTTGGTCTAACCAATTTGATTACCTCTCTAGGGTCATTGGTCAACTCGGACATACTCATGTAATCAAATACCCTCAAGTACTCTGCCAGACTGGAAGGCACCAAAAAGATACTTAATCATGTTATTTTGACATTCTAATCAAGCAGTAATACTCATAAATATTTGATCACCACAAGACTAACAATTTTGTTCCATCTATCTATCTCCCTTCTGACATTTTTATTGCAAGACCAATTCTCCTAATTCATTGTACTAATGAAAAGTAAACTCTATCACTTAAGAGAAGCAAAACCAATAATCGCTTGCCCCAGGAGTTGTTGCCCTGACCCTGTACGGTCACTTCTCTCATATGCATCCATATTTTACCCAAAAGCTTCATTTAGTAAACTACATTTTAAGTAAATATTAAAAACCCCTTTTTCCAAAATACCCTGGTTATAGAAGGCCGGAGGTGATTATATCAGCGTTGTCATTGTCTGTTTTTGTTGCAGCTTGTCAACACCCGGGCAGAGTACCAGCTGTCTGTCAGTCTCTACGATGTGGCGTTCCGGGAGTTCTGTGGCCGACAGTGGCTGGGACCGACGATGGCAGGAAGGGGAGGAGCTACCAGTCTGCCCAAGTTACAATATAACCAGGTACTCAGTCTGCCCAAGTTACAATATAACCAGGTACTCAGTCTGCCCAAGTTACAATATAACCAGGTACTCAGTCTGCACAATATAACCAGATACTCGGTCTGCCCAAGTTACAATATAACCAGGTACTCCGTCTGCACAATATAACCAGGTACTCAGTCTGCCCAAGTTACAATATAACCAGGTACTCAGTCTGCCCAAGTTACAATATAACCAGGTACTCAGTCTGCCCAAGTTACAATATAACCAGGTACTCAGTCTGCACAATATAACCAGATACTCAGTCTGCCCAAGTTACAATATAACCAGGTACTCAGTCTGCCCAAGTTACAATATAACCAGGTACTCAGTCTGCACAATATAACCAGATACTCAGTCTGCCCAAGTTACAATATAACCAGGTACTCAGTCTGCACAATATAACCAGATACTCAGTCTGCCCAAGTTACAATATAACCAGGTACTCAGTCTGCCCAAGTTACAATATAACCAGGTACTCAGTCTGCACAATATAACCAGATACTCAGTCTGCACAATATAACCAGGTACTCAGTCTGCCCAAGTTACAATATAACCAGGTACTCAGTCTGCACAATATAACCAGGTACTCGGTCTGCCCAAGTTACAATATAACCAGGTACTCAGTCTGCCCAAATCAAAACAAGGTAATTTGGCCAGAAGTACAACTTAGGCTTCAGGTATATCAATGTTCTGATATTGTTCAATAACCATCAAATAGCCAATTCCCTTCCACTGATTTAACCACCTGAACTAGAAATTAAGGAGACCAGTGAGACCGCCTCACCTGAGTGACAAAACACTCTCTACAAGACTGTGACTGTATGTCCACTTTCCAGTCGTTGACTCTCCCTTTATGTCCACTTTCCAGTCGTCGACTCTCCCTTTATGCCAACTTTCCAGTCGTCGACTCTCCCTTTATGCCAACTTTCCAGTCGTCGACTCTCCCTTTATGCCAACTTTCCAGTCGTCAACTCTCCCTTTATGCCAACTTTCCAGTCGTCGACTCTCCCTTTATGCCAAGCAGTATTCCAGCAGCTCCAGCCCATGGTGTCAACCATTGAGGTTCAATCTACCAAGATTTCAAAGAGCATCATACAACTCTTGCTCAGAAGTTTGTTTGTTCAGGTTGCAACATTTAAGGCCTTAGTAAGCTTTCCAAACGTTTTTTATTACCTATATGGGAACAGAGATGCTGGGTAGTATCTTTTCTGTAACATCAGAGGTTATGACAGTTGCTTTATGCCGATTGGCTGCTTTAGAAAGCCTGTAATTTTCCCATTCATCATGTTCACTCATCTTTTTGCACAAACTCATCTCTACTATACAAGGCTTGTCATTTACTACATAAAGAGTTCTAAAAACTGTATATTTTATTCATTCAAATTAAATATGTTTCACACATGCTGTTTACGATAATTGAATACACGAAACATAAAAACTAATTAAGATTTGTAGTTTAAATTTGATTGAATAAATCGTCTGTTATACCTGCATGTAATTTGTAAACAACATTCCTCATCAAACTATTGTGTATGTTGTAGACATCTTTAGGACATTTCCATATTTGTTGCCTCAGTGACAAAAATTATGTCTGATGCAATTCCCTATTTTGACTCTTACCATTTGTTCCCGTGTATTTCCAGGTGAACAAACATTTGACTTGTCTTTGCATGTGTTTGTGAAGGGTGCTACCGGTGGGGCAGGATACGTTCACCTTTTCGCAAACACCTGGTATCATCACTATTTGTTAGTGATTCATAAACACATGCTCATGATATAGTCGGAATTGTACAATCGACTCTGCTTTATGCAGAGATTTCTATTGGATATGGAAAGGGTTTTGTCGCTATATTTACAGAGTTACAGTGAGTGATGTTTGTTTCAGCACATCTACTTCCACACGTCTATCACCAACATCAGCCTGATTGCGGTGGTGGAGATTGTGGCCCACACTTATGATGACTCGGGACGGCGCCAGGCTGTGGCCTGCGGCTGGGGCATCATCCGGCCCTTCAAGAATGACTCCGACTTGCCGGACTCTGCGCGGAGCGTCCAGCTGCCAACACAGAAGTAAGCATCTGAAACAGTAACAGTGGTCCTGTTGTGCCAGTCTGACCTAGCTGGCTTGTGTGGTGGTTCTGTTGTGCCAGTCTGACCTAGCTGGTTTGTGTGGTGGTCCTGTTGTGCCAGTCTGACCTAGCTGGCTTGTGTGGTGGTTCTGTTGTGCCAGTCTGACCTAGCTGGCTTGTGTGGTGGTCCTGTTGTGCCAGTCTGACCTAGCTGGCTTGTGTGGTGGTCCTGTTGTGCCAGTCTGACCTAGCTGGCTTGTGTGGTGGTTCTGTTGTGCCAGTCTGACCTAGCTGGCTTGTGTGGTGGTTCTGTTGTGCCAGTCTGACCTAGCTGGCTTGTGTGGTGGTTCTGTTGTGCCAGTCTGACCTAGCTGGCTTGTGTGGTGATTCTGTTGTGCCAGTCTGACCTAGCTGGCTTGTGTGGTGATTCTATTGTGCCAGTCTGACCTAGCTGGCTTGTGTGGTGGTTCTGTTGTGCCAGTCTGACCTAGCTGGCTTGTGTGGTGGTTATGTTGTGCCAGTCTGACCTAGCTGGCTTGTGTGGTGGTCCTGTTGTGCCAGTCTGACCTAGCTGGCTTGTGTGGTGATTCTGTTGTGCCAGTCTGACCTAGCTGGCTTGTGTGGTGGTTCTGTTGTGCCAGTCTGACCTAGCTGGCTTGTGTGGTGGTTATGTTGTGCCAGTCTGACCTAGCTGGCTTGTGTGGTGGTTCTGTTGTGCCAGTCTGACCTAGCTGGCTTGTGTGGTGGTCCTGTTGTGCCAGTCTGACCTAGCTGGCTTGTGTGGTGGTTCTGTTGTGCCAGTCTGACCTAGCTGGCTTGTGTGGTGGTTCTGACCGTCACTTTGCCCTTCAGAGTGAAGGTCACTGTCCATTGCTCACTGCTGTTCAAGTACCTGGGAGGGATGTCAGGCAGGTCCCCCCAGCAGTCCGTCCGTGCTTGTTCTACCAGGGGTCAGACTTTTCTCTTTGGATTATTTGGTTTAATGTATCCCTGGTTCCGCTACACTTGCATGCCTACGGAGGGAGGGGGGAGGTTGAATATTGTTTTTAATACGCCTTTTTGTGGCAGACAAGTTCTTTTTTTCAAACAGTCTGAAGTGTAATTTTTGTTTTCAAGTATTTTGGGGACAAATTTATTTTGTTCAATAAAATCCCAGGCCCCCAAGTTGCAATGGAAGATAAAGTGAATATACTTTAGACAATGGGAGATAAAGTGAATATACTTTAGACAATGGGAGATAAAGTGAATATACTTTAGACAATGGGAGATAAAGTGAATATACTTTAGACAATGGGAGATAAAGTGAATATACTTTAAACAATGGGAGATAAAGTGAATATACTTTAGACAATGGGAGATAAAGTGAATATACTTTAGACAATGGAAGATAAACATTATTTGCTGAAACAAGGTGTGTACAAAAGGAAAAGAATCACAAAATACCTGCCTCAAGCAGAGTTCAATTTGACATGGATCCTTTCTCGGGATTGTTGTGCCAAGAAAAACATCCAAGTGTTTTTGATCACAATTAGGTTTAATGTTCTTAATTTTTCAAAACAATTTTAAAGGCTTTGTGCATATTGTTCATGCATGTTTCAATACAACTAAAAGATACTTGATTGCCCCACTCTGTGAGGTCTTTGACCTTGTTAAACCACACACTCTGTGAGGTCTTTGACCTTGTTAAACCACACACTCTGTGAGGTCTTTGACCTTGTTAAACCACACACTCTGTGAGGTCTTTGACCTTGTTAACCAACCACACACTCCATGAGGTCTTTGACCTTGTTAACCAACCACACACTCCATGAGGTCTTTGACCTTGTTAAACCACACACTCCATGAGGTCTTTGACCTTGTTAAACCACACACTCTGTGAGGTCTTTGACCTTGTTAAACCACACACTCTGTGAGGTCTTTAACCTTGTTAAACCACACACTCTGTGAGGTCTTTCACCTTGTTAAACCACACACTCTGTGAGGTCTTTCACCTTGTTAAACAACACACTCTGTGAGGTCTTTAACCTTGTTAAACCACACACTCTGTGAGGTCTTTAACCTTGTTAAACCACACACTCCATGAGGTCTTTGACCTTGTTAAACCACACACTCTGTGAAGTCTTTAACTTTGTTAAACCACACACTCCATCAGGTCTTTGACCTTGTCAAACCACACACTCCATGAGGTCTTTAACCTTGTTAAACCACACACTCTGTGAGGTCTTTCACCTTGTTAAACAACACACTCTGTGAGGTCTTTGACCTTGTTAAACCACACACTCTGTGAGGTCTTTAACCTTGTTAAACCACACACTATATGAGGTCTTTAACCTTGTTAAACCACACACTCCATGAGGTCTTTGACCTTGTTAAACCCCACACTCCATGAGGTCTTTAACTTTGTTAAACCACACACTCCATGAGGTCTTTGACCTTGTTAAACCACACACTCTGTGAGGTCTTTAACCTTGTTAAACCACACACTCTGTGAGGTCTTTGACCTTGTTAAACCACACACTCTGTGAGGTCTTTCACCTTGTTAAACCCAACACACTCTGTGAGGTCTTTCACCTTGTTAAACCACACACTCTGTGAGGTCTTTCACCTTGTTAACCAACCACACACTCCATGAGGTATCTGACCTTGTTAAACCACACACTCCATGAGGTCTTTGACCTTGTTAAACCACACACTCTGTGAGGTCTTTGACCTTGTTAACCAACCACACACTCCATGAGGTCTTTGACCTTGTTAAACCACACACTCTGTGAGGTCTTTGACCTTGTTAAACCAGACACTCCATGAGGTCTTTGACCTTGTTAAACCACACACTCCATGAGGTCTTTAACCTTGTTAAACCAGACACTCTGTGAGGTCTTTGACCTTGTTAACCAACCACACACTCCATGAGGTCTTTGACCTTGTTAAACCACACACTCCATGAGGTATTTAACCTTGTTAAACCACACACTCTGTGAGGTCTTTAACCTTGTTAAACCACACACTCTGTGAGGTCTTTAACCTTGTTAAACCACACACTCTGTGAGGTCTTTGACCTTGTTAACCAACCACACACTCCATGAGGTCTTTGACCTTGTTAAACCATACACTCTGTGAGGTCTTTGACCTTGTTAAACCACACACTCTGTGAAGTCTTTAACCTTGTTAACCAACCACACACTCCATGAGGTCTTTGACCTTGTTAAACCACACACTCTGTGAGGTATTTAACCTTGTTAAACCACACACTCTGTGAGGTCTTTAACCTTGTTAAACCACACACTCTGTGAGGTCTTTGACCTTGTTAAACCACACACTCTGTGAGGTCTTTCACCTTGTTAAACCCAACACACTCTGTGAGGTCTTTCACCTTGTTAAACCACACACTCTGTGAGGTCTTTCACCTTGTTAACCAACCACACACTCCATGAGGTATCTGACCTTGTTAAACCACACACTCCATGAGGTCTTTGACCTTGTTAAACCACACACTCTGTGAGGTCTTTGACCTTGTTAACCAACCACACACTCCATGAGGTCTTTGACCTTGTTAAACCACACACTCTGTGAGGTCTTTGACCTTGTTAAACCAGACACTCCATGAGGTCTTTGACCTTGTTAAACCACACACTCCATGAGGTCTTTAACCTTGTTAAACCAGACACTCTGTGAGGTCTTTGACCTTGTTAACCAACCACACACTCCATGAGGTCTTTGACCTTGTTAAACCACACACTCCATGAGGTATTTAACCTTGTTAAACCACACACTCTGTGAGGTCTTTAACCTTGTTAAACCACACACTCTGTGAGGTCTTTAACCTTGTTAAACCACACACTCTGTGAGGTCTTTGACCTTGTTAACCAACCACACACTCCATGAGGTCTTTGACCTTGTTAAACCATACACTCTGTGAGGTCTTTGACCTTGTTAAACCACACACTCTGTGAAGTCTTTAACCTTGTTAACCAACCACACACTCCATGAGGTCTTTGACCTTGTTAAACCACACACTCTGTGAGGTATTTAACCTTGTTAAACCACACACTCTGTGAGGTCTTTAACCTTGTTAAACCACACGCTCTGTGAGGTCTTTAACCTTGTTAAACCACACACTCTGTGAGGTCTTTGACCTTGTTAAACCACACACTCTGTGAGGTCTTAAACCTTGTTAAACCACACACTCTGTGAGGTCTTTGACCTTGTTAAACCACACACTGTGTGATGTCCTTGACCTTGTTAACTCTTTCATCCCTGGCTGCCCCAGAGTTATGTCCCTTGAAACACTGCAGTCCCTGACACTGACAAGGCCTGCACACTGGCCTCCCTGGCAGTATTATTGGAAAATCACACTATCATTTTTTATGCACTTTTCTACCAGAAACTTGCTTTTAATATACATTTATCATATACCATTGTAAAGAGGATTACGTATGCTGTAATATTCTTTGTTGTTATTGTCTTTAACCTTTGTTATTTTCTAATTACAGGTGTTTACAAGTGAAATAAAACTTGAAAACACTGAAAAAATGATAACAGACAATGAATTTCGGCTCAAATTGTATTAAAAATCACAAAAATAAGTCACAGATACAAGGTAAACATAATACGGTGGTCTTGTCATCTTGGACGGCACAGGTAATCCCAGGTGTTACAGGTAAATTCTCTTCATGCACATCTGTAAACAAATAAACAAGTTTACAACACTTGGTACTGACTTTGTTTTCTATACTGATGTCACATATTACTTATGATACACTTACAGCCTCTTAGGTAAACTCGTTAACACAGGTAAACTTGTTAACGCAGGTAAACTCGTTAACACAGGTAAAAACACAAATATCAGATTTATTTTGTTCTTTTTCAGGATTTGAAACACAAATTAAGTATTTGAGTAATTAAATACTAATTTATCACATTACCTGAACATTGAACCAAAGCTACTATAATGCTTGCCGTAAAAGGGGACTATGCTTGTCGTAAAAGGCGACTAACGGGATCAGGTGGTCAGGCTCGCTGACTTGGTTGAAGCATGTCATCGATCCCAATTGTGTGGATCGATGCTCATGATATTAATCACTGGATTGTCTGGTCCAGACTCGATTATTTACAGACCGCCGTCATATAGCTGTAATATTGCTGAGTGCGGCGTTAAACAACAAACCAACCAACCAACCAACCACAGCTACTATAAATATGACATCACAGGGAAGATATCACAGATTGATCTGAAAGGAGGGAAAGATTGTAAAAGGACGGAAAGATCGTAAATTCAAGTGCTGCAAAGATACAAGTTGTGATAACATATTTACAATACACTGCTATTTACAATTGCATAATAAATTAAATCAGTACTTTATTAAATCAATTAATAAATAAATAATTATTACAGTTACTAAAATTTAAACTAAGATGTAAAAAACAAGAAAACAAACATGAATATGGAAATAAATTTTATTCAAATTGAGAGAAATGCAAGGACATACGACAAACCTGCAAACTACAATTCGTATAGCGATCAGAAAAATAAATTTAAAAAAAAAAGAAAGAGATACGTCATGCCACTCACCTTTGTTGTTGTTGTGATCGCTCGTTCACTTGTAGGCTGCATTCTCATTGTCGCCCTGATTATCTGTTCAAACACAGAATCATTGTAAAACAGTTGGAAAAAATCAATAGCACGACTCTTCACTCACCATGTCAATAAGTATTCTTGAGTCCGGTCGCCTCTTCAAAATCCCTCATGTCTCCACCGTTGTGGTCCCTCTGAAAGTTGGCGGGGGTGGGGGGGGGGGGATGGACACCTCGTCGAAACCGTCAAAATCTTCACCAAAATATTTGCGAAATTCCCTCTCCCCTTCGCGTAAATTATTCAAATCAAACACATTATTGTTCCCGATAGTGTTGTTATTAGCCATCTGATCGCTATCCGAATCGTAGTTGGCCGCCATTACGCTAGATTTACCGATTCAAGCTAGAAAATATACCTGTAGCGAAAACAGGTGCGTATCCGCGATTTTCGCGCCAAAAAGACTTGCGTGTAGATCTCGTTTCTATTTTTAGAATGAGATTACACACGAGAAAGAAAGTAGAAACACGTTCGTGCCGCCCGATTTAGCGGGCAGCCGTGTGTGGGACTTGGACAGTAGCTGCCCGATTTATCGGGCAGCCGTGTACTGGGTCATGGGTTATGCTGCCCGATAAATCGGGCAGTCGGGGCCAAAGGGTTAATTAACCACACACTCTGTGAGGTCTTTGACCTTGTTAAACCACACACTGTGTGATGTACTTGACCTTGTTACACATGGTTCAGTCATGACTGTCACACACTTACTTGCAATCCTAAGACTTGGTAGTTGTTGGATCTTTCCAAGTGGTCTTGATGAAGAAACTGGCAGTTGGTGGTGGTGTTGTCTAGCTTGGCCTGAGGATGTGACACATGTACAGATGGGTGTTATGTTGCAGGGTTGAGATGTACTACGGATCTCCCAGAGCTCTGCTGTTCATGGACGACCCCCTGGAGAGTAAGTGTCTTTTGATATTCTCCCCAATCTTTCACAATACTTCCCCATGTTACCCATCCATGTTCCTTACCTTTAGCCCTGTAAATCCCTGTAATTCCCCATTTGGCCCTATAAATCCCTGTAATTCCCAATTTGGCCCTATAAATCCCTGTAATTCCCCATTTGGCCCTGTAAATCCCTGTAATTTTCCATTTGGCCCTATAAATCCCTGTTATTCCCCATTTGGCCCTATAAATGCCTGTAATTCCCCATTTGGCCCTGTAAAACCCTAACCCTAAACCTTCCCCCATGTGATCTGGTGTTGACTGTTGTGTTTAAACCTTCCCATGTAATGTAGAGTTGACTATTGTTTTTTAAACCTACCCCCATGTGGCCTTGACTGTCAGGTTTAAACCTTCCCCCATGAGATGTAGCGTTGACTTGTGTTTAAACCTTCCCCCAGGTGATGAGGAGTTGACTGTTGTGTTTAAACCTTCCCGTGTGATGTGGAGTTGACTGTTGTGTTTAAACCTTCCCCCCGGTGATGAGGAGTTGACTGTTGTGTTTAAACCTTCCCGTGTGATGTGGAGTTGACTGTTGTGTTTAAACCTTCCCCCATGAGATGTGGTGTTGACTGTTGTGTTTAAACCTTCCCCCATGAGATGTGGCATTGACTGTTGTGTTTAAACCTTCACCCATGAGATGTGACACTGACTGTTGTGTTTAAACCTTTCCCCATGAGATGTGGTGTTGACTGTTGTGTTTAAATCTTCCCCAAGGGGTTGTGGAGTTAACTGTTGTGCTTAAACCTTCCCGTGTGATGTGGCATTGACTGTTGTGTTTAAACCTTCCCCCATGAGATGTGGTGTTGACTGTTGTGTTTAAACCTTCCCCCATGAGATGTGGAGTTGACTGTTGTGTTTAAACCTTCCCCCATGAGATGTGGCGTTGACTGTTGTGTTTAAACCTTCCCCCATGAGATGTGGTGTTGACTGTTGTGTTTAAACCTTCCCCCATGAGATGTGGAGTTGACTGTTGTGTATGAACCTACCCCCAGGTGATGTGGAGTTGACTGTTGTGTTAAGACCTTCCCCCATGAGATGTGGCGTTGACTGGTGTGTTTAAATCTTCCCCCAGGTGATGTGGAGTTGACTGTTGTGTTTAAACCTTCCCGTGTGATGTGGAGTTGACTGTTGTGTTTAAACCTTCCCCCATGAGATGTGGCGTTGACTGTTGTGTTTAAACCTTCCCCCATGAGATGTGGCATTGACTGTTGTGTTTAAACCTTCCCCCATGAGATGTGGTGTTGACTGTTGTGTTTAAACCTTCCCCCATGAGATGTGGAGTTGACTGTTCTGTTTAAACCTTCCCCCATGAGATGTGGAGTTGACTGTTGTGTTTAAACCTTCCCCCGTGAGATGTGGCGTTGACTGTTGTGTTTAAACCTTCCCCCATGAGATGTGGTGTTGACAGTTGTGTTTAAACCTTCCCCCATGAGATGTGGCATTGACTGTTGTGTTTAAACCTTCCTGTGTGATGTGGCATTGACTGTTGTGTTTAAACCTTCCCCCAGGTGATGAGGAGTTGACTGTTGTGCTTAAACCTTCCCGTGTGATGTGGAGTTGACTGTTGTGTTAAAAACTTCCTGTGTGATGTGGAGTTTCACCGTTGTGTTTAAACCTTCCCCCATGTGATGTGGAGTTGACTGTTGTGCTTAAACCTTCCTGTGTGATGTGGAGGTGACTGTTGTGTTAAAAACTTCCTGTGTGATGTGGAGTTGACCGTTGTGTATAAACCTTCCCCCATGTGATGTGGAGTTGACTGTTGTGCTTAAACCTTCCCGTGTGATGTGGAGGTGACTGTTGTGTTAAAAACTTCCTGTGTGATGTGGAGTTGACCGTTGTGTTTAAACCTACCCCCGTGAGATGTGGAGTTGACTGTTGTGTTTTAACCTTCCACCATGAGAAGTGGCGTTGACTGTTGTGTTAAAACCTTCCCCCAGGTGATGAGGAGTTGACTGTTGTGCTTAAACCTTCCCGTGGGATGTGGAGTTGACTGTTGTGTTAAAAACTTCCTGTGTGATGTGGAGTTGACCGTTGTGTTTAAACCTTCCCCCATGTGATGTGGAGTTGACTGTTTTGTTTAAACCTTCCCATGTGATGTGGCGTTGACTGTTGTTTAAACCTTCCCCCATGAGATGTGGTGTTGACAGTTGTGTTTAAACCTTCCCCCATGAGATGTGGCATTGACTGTTGTGTTTAAACCTTCCTGTGTGATGTGGCGTTGACTGTTGTGTTTAAACCTTCCCCCAGGTGATGAGGAGTTGACTGTTGTGCTTAAACCTTCCCGTGTGATGTGGAGTTGACTGTTGTGTTAAAAACTTCCTGTGTGATGTGGAGTTGACCGTTGTGTTTAAACCTTCCCCCATGTGATGTGGAGTTGACTGTTGTGCTTAAACCTTCCCGTGTGATGTGGAGGTGACTGTTGTGTTAAAAACTTCCTGTGTGATGTGGAGTTGACCGTTGTGTTTAAACCTTCCCCCATGTGATGTGGAGTTGACTGTTGTGCTTAAACCTTCCCGTGTGATGTGGAGGTGACTGGTGTGTTAAAAACTTCCTGTGTGATGTGGAGTTGACCGTTGTGTTTAAACCTACCCCCGTGAGATGTGGAGTTGACTGTTGTGTTTTAACCTTCCACCATGAGATGTGGCGTTGACTGTTGTGTTAAAACCTTCCCCCAGGTGATGAGGAGTTGACTGTTGTGCTTAAACCTTCCCGTGGGATGTGGAGTTGACTGTTGTGTTAAAAACTTCCTGTGTGATGTGGAGTTGACTGTTGTGTTTAGACCTTCCCCCATGAGATGTGGTGTTGACAGTTGTGTTTAAACCTTCCCCCATGAGATGTGGCATTGACTGTTGTGTTTAAACCTTCCTGTGTGATGTGGCGTTGACTGTTGTGTTTAAACCTTCCCCCAGGTGATGAGGAGTTGACTGTTGTGCTTAAACCTTCCCGTGTGATGTGGAGTTGACTGTTGTGTTAAAAACTTCCTGTGTGATGTGGCGTTGACCGTTGTGTTTAAACCTTCCCCCATGTGATGTGGAGTTGACTGTTGTGCTTAAACCTTCCCGTGTGATGTGGAGTTGACTGTTGTGTTAAAAACATCCTGTGTGATGTGGAGTTGACCCTTGTGTTTAAACCTACCCCCGTGAGATGTGGAGTTGACCGTTGTGTTTAAACCTACCCCCGTGAGATGTGGCGTTGACTGTTGTGTTTAAACCTTCCCCCAGGTGATGAGGAGTTGACTGTTGTGCTTAAACCTTCCCGTGTGATGTGGAGTTGACTGTTGTGTTAAAAACTTCCTGTGTGATGTGGAGTTGACTGTTGTGTTTAAACCTTCCCCCATGTGATGTGGAGTTGACTGTTTTGTTTAAACCTTCCCATGTGATGTGGAGTTGACTGTTGTGTTTAGACCTTCCCCCATGAGATGTGGCATTGACTGTTGTGTTTAAACCTTCCCCCAGGTGATGAAGAGTTGACTGTTGTGTTTAAACCTTCCCCCATGAGATGTGGCATTGACTGTTGTGTTTAAACCTACCTGTGTGATGTGGAGTTGACTGTTGTGTATTGACCTACCCCCATGTGGCATTGACTGTTGTGTTTAAACCTTCCCCCATGAGATGTGGAGTGACTGTTGTGTTTAAACCTTCCCGTGTGATGTGGAGTTGACTGTTGTGTTTAAACCTTCCCGTGTGATGTGGAGTGACTGTTGTGTTTAAACCTTCCCCCAGGTGATGTGACGTTGACTGTTGTGTTTAAACCTTCCCCAATGAGATATGGCGTTGACTGTTGTGTTTAAACCTTCCCGTGTGATGTGGAGTGACTGTTGTGTTTAAACCTTCCCCCAGGTGATGTGGCGTTGACGTTTGTGTTTAAACCTTCCTGTGTGATGTGGAGTTGACTGTTGTGTTTAAACCTTCCTGTGTGATGTGGAATTGACTGTTGTGTTTAAACCTTCCCCCAGGTGATGTGACGTTGACTGTTGTGTTTAAACCTTCCCCCATGAGATATGGCGTTGACTGTTGTGTTTAAACCTTCCCCTCCGTGATGTGGCGTTGACTGTTGTGTTAAAACCTCCCGTGTGATGTGGAGTTGACTGTTTTGTTTAAACCTTCCCATGTGATGTGGAGTTGACTGTTGTGTTTAGACCTTCCCCCATGAGATGTGGCATTGACTGTTGTGTTTAAACCTTCCCCCATGTGATGTAGAGTTGACTGTTGTGTTTAAATCTCCCCATGTGATATGGTGTTCACTGTTGTGTTTAAACCTTCCCGTGTGATGTAGAATTGACTGTTGTGTTTAAGCCTTCCCCCATGTGATGTGTATTGACTGTTTCAGGTAACCAGTTGCTGAAGCCGATTACGGGATGCCAGCTCAGCTTCACCATGGCGACCCACAAGTCTATGCTGAGGGTCATGAACCTGATTCCAGAGAATGTCATCGTCAGCGGAAAGGACGTCATCCCTGGGATGGTGGATGACCAAACTGCAGGTGAGACATTGACGGAATTCCAATGTATGACAGTGTGGAATTCATACCTGAATGTTTATGGTAATAGTTATGTTAGTCCCCTTTCACAAAGTGATTTCAGCTATCGGAAGCCTATGATATGTTTTTAAGCCCTTTTGAGCACTTCATATTTTACCCTAAAAAAAATATATAAGGCCAAGTGAAATGCATCCCAGGTCTCACTGGCCACGTCAACTGTGGTCTTACTTCAGCTGCTGTGACCCCGATTGGAGCACTTCATATTTTACCCTAAGAACGTATATATATATCTCTGTGTTGTGTTAAGCACTTTTTTCATGAATAATGTCGCAATGGTCTCAAACCACATCAAATGGCATTTCACGTCGCCTAACCTTAGCCCGGTTTTAGGCCGATTTTGAGCACTAAATATTTTACCTTATTATCCCCCAAAAGGCCGAATTGTTAGCGTTACCACTGACCTGCTGTCTGGTATGTACAGGGGCGGACAAGTTGAAGCGTCCGAAGACGTTGCGCACTGTGCCAATTCAGCTGGAGGGTGTGTACGTGCACCTGCAGCCCAATATGGACATGTTCGAGACGGAACTTTGCTCACTGATGCAGGATGATCGGGCACTCCGAGAGAAGAAGACGCTGGAAGATGCTCCCCCTGTCACAGTCTTAGAGAGACGATTACAGGTATGTGCTGCCTGCCTCTATCACCTGAAACCTGACTAACGATTACAGGTGTACACTTTGTGTGATTGTTGATTACAGGTGTACACGTTGTGTGATTGTTGATTACAGGTGTACACATTGTGTGATTGTTGATTACAGGTGTACACGTCGTGTGATTGGTGATTACAGGTGTACATGTTGTGTGATTGTTGATTACAGGTGTACACGTTGTGTGATTGTTGATTACAGGTGTACACGTTGTGTGATTGTTGATTACAGGTGTACACGTTGTGTGATTGTTGATTACAGGTGTACACGTTGTGTGATTGTTGATTACAGGTGTACACTTTGTGTGATTGTTTATTACAGGTGTACACGTTGTGTGATTGTTGATTACAGGTGTGCACGTCGTATGATTGGTGATTACAGGTGTACACGTTGTGTGATTGTTGATTACAGGTGTACACGTCGTGTGATTGGTGATTACAGGTGTACCCGTTGTGTGATTGTTGATAACAGGTGTACACGTTGTGTGATTGTTTATTACAGGTGTCCACGTTGTGTGATTGTTGATTACAGGTGTCCATGTCGTGTGATTGTTGATTACAGGTGTCCATGTCGTGTGATTGTTTATTACAGGTGTCCACGTTGTGTGATTGTTGATTACAGGTGTCCATGTCGTGTGATTGTTGATTACAGGTGTCCATGTCGTGTGATTGTTTATTACAGGTGTACACGTTGTGTGATTGTTGATTACAGGTGTCCATGTCGTGTGATTGTTGATTACAGGTGTCCATGTCGTGTGATTGTTGATTACAGGTGTACACGTTGTGTGATTGTTGAATACAGGTGTCCATGTCGTGTGATTGTTGATTACAGGTGAACACGTCGTGTGATTGTTTATTACAGGTGTCCACGTTGTGTGATAGTTGATTACAGTTGTACACGTTGTGTGATTGTTGATTACAGGTGTACACGTCGTGTGATAGTTGATTACAGGTGTACACGTTGTGTGATTGTTGATTACAGGTGTACACGTCGTGTGATAGTTGATTACAGGTGTACACGTTGTGTGATTGTTGATTACAGGTGTACACGTCGTGTGATAGTTGATTACAGGTGTACACGTCGTGTGATTGTTGATTACAGGTGTACACGTTGTGTGATTTTTGTTTACAGGTGTATACGTTGTATGATTGTTGATTACAGGTGTACACATTGCGTGATTGTTGAATACAGGTGTACACGTTGTGTGATTGTTGATTACAGGTGTACACGTTGTGTGATTGTTGATTACGGGTGTCCATGTCGTGTGATTGTTGATTACAGGTGTACACGTCGTGTGATTGGTGATTACAGGTGTACACGTTGTGTGATTGTTGATTACAGGTGTACACGTTGTGTGATTGTTGACTACAGGTGTACACGTCGTGTGATAGTTGATTACAGGTGTACACGTTGTGTGATTGTTGATTACAGGTGTACACGTTGTGTGATTGTTGATAACAGGTGTACACGTCGTGTGATTGGTGATTACAGGTGTACACGTTGTGTGATTGTTGATTACAGGTGTCCATGTCCTTTGATTGTTTATTACAGGTGTCCATGTCGTGTGATTGTTGATTACAGGTGTACACGTTGTGTGATTGGTGATTAGAGGTGTACACGTTGTGTGATTGTTGATTACAGGTGTACACGTCGTGTGATTGTTCATTAAAGGTGTACACGTTGTGTGATTGTTGATTACAGGTGTACACGTCGTGTGATTGGTGATTACAGGTGTACATGTTGTGTGATTGTTTATTACAGGTGTACACGTCGTGTGATAGTTGATTACAGTTGTACACGTTGTGTGATTGTTGATTACAGGTGTACACGTCGTGTGATAGTTGATTACAGGTGTACACGTTGTGTGATTGTTGATTACAGGTGTACACGTCGTGTGATAGTTGATTACAGGTGTACACGTTGTGTGATTGTTGATTACAGGTGTACACGTCGTGTGATAGTTGATTACAGGTGTACACGTCGTGTGATTGTTTATTACAGGTGTCCATGTCGTGTGATAGTTGATTACAGGTGTACACGTTGTGTGATTGTTGATTACAGGTGTACACGTCGTGTGATAGTTGATTACAGGTGTACATGTTGTGTGATTGTTGATTACAGGTGTACACGTCGTGTGATTGGTGATTACAGGTGTACACGTCGTGTGATTGGTGATTACAGGTGTACACGTTGTGTGATTGTTGATTACAGGTGTCCATGTCGTGTGATTGTTTATTACAGGTGTCCATGTCGTGTGATTGTTGATTAAAGGTGTACACGTTGTGTGATTGGTGATTACAGGTGTACACGTTGTGTGATTGTTGATTACAGGTGTACACGTTGTGTGATTGTTTATTACAGGTGTACACGTTGTGTGATTGTTGATTAGAGGTGTACACGTTGTGTGATTGGTGATTACAGGTGTACCCGTCGTGTGATTGGTGATTACAAGTGTAGAACATTGTGTGATTGTTGATTACAGGTGTACACGTCGTGTGTTTGGTGATTACAGGTGTACCCGTCGTGTGATTGGTGATTACAAGTGTAGAACATTGTGTGATTGTTGATTACAGGTGTACACATCGTGTGATTGTTTGTTACAGGTGAACACATCGTGTGATTGGTGATTACAGGTGTACACTACACATGATTGGTGATTAAAGGTGTACACTACACCTGATCAAGATGTACACTACACATGATTGGTAGTTAAAGGTGTACACTACACATGATTGGTGATTAAAGATGTACACTACACATGATTGGTTATTACAGGTGTACACGTCGTGTGTTTGGTGATTACAGGTGTACCCGTCGTGTGATTGGTGATTACAAGTGTAGAACATTGTGTGATTGTTGAATACAGGTGTACACATCGTGTGATTGTTTGTTACAGGTGAACACATCGTGTGATTGGTGATTACAGGTGTACACTACACATGATTGGTGATTAAAGGTGTACACTACACCTGATCAAGATGTACACTACACATGATTGGTAGTTAAAGGTGTACACTACACATGATTGGTGATTAAAGATGTACACTACACATGATTGGTTATTATAGGTGTACACTACACCTGATTGGTGGTTAAAGGTGTACAGTACGACTGATTGGTGATTAAAGATGTACACTACACATGATTGGTAGTTAAAGGTGTACACTACATTTGATTGGTGATTAAAGCTGTACACTACACCTGATTGGTGATTAAAGGTGTACACTTCACATGATTGGTGATAAAAGGTGTACACTACACCTGATTGGTGATTAAAGGTGTACACTACACATGATTGGTGATTAAAGGTGTTCACTACTAATGATTGGTGATTAAAGGTGTACACTACACATGATTGGTGATTAAAGGTGTTCACTACTAATGATTGGTGATTAAAGGTGTACACTACACCTGATTGGTGATTAAAGGTGTACACTACACATGATTGGTGATTAAAGGTGTTCACTACTAATGATTGGTGATTAAAGGTGTACAGTACGACTGATTGGTGATTAAAGGTGTACACTACACATGATTGGTGATTAAAGGTGTACACTACACCTGATTGGTTATTAAGGGTGTACACTACACATGATTGGTGATTAAAGGTGTACACTACACCTGATTGGTGATTAAAGGTGTACACTATACATGATTGGTGATTAAAGGTGTACACTACATTTGATTAGTGATTAAAGGTGTACACTATGACTGATTGGTCATTAAAGGTATACACTACACCTGATTGGTGATTAAAGGTGTACACTACACCTGATTGGTCCTTAAAGGTGTATGCTACACCTGATTGGTGAGTACATGTACCTCTGTTCACCCAGCAGAGAATGGCTACCTGATATGTGAGTCTGTATGTAAACACCTTCTGTCGCCCCTAGGCAGCTTGCGTTGTATACTCCCCAGGGAGTTGAGAATATTGATTGGAATGTGAACAGATCAACTGGTCAGGGAACGCATAAAACCGCATTAAAGCAGATACTATTACCTGGATACCTATATAAATATGTAATACCATATTGCACGTTGTGTGATTGGTGACCACCCTATACACACTGTTGTGTTGCAGGTTGGTGTTCATAATGGCTGGTGTTACGTGGAAAAGCCTCAGACCTTCCATCTAGAGAGTCTCAGCAGCTCGTCACGGAAACCCACAGCCAGCCCTAGCTTCCGTCGCAGTAGCATGTTCGCAAACAGGAGGACCGAGTCTACAGGGTCATGGTCAGTATCACCTTTGCACACTGGAGGACTGGCTTTACTGACTGTGTTGTTAAATAACAAACTGACATCGACAAGCTTACCATCTGCTCTTAGTGAAATCTCTTCTCACTAACACGTGACCTTACTGACTTCCGACCTCACTGACTTCCGACCTCACTGGCATCTAACCTTAGTGACATCTAACCTTAGTGACATCTAACCTTAGTGACATCTAACCTTAGTGACATCTGATCTTACTGACTTATGACCTCAGTGACATCTAACCTCACTGACCTCTGACCTTACTGACATGTCCTCAGTGACATCTGACCTTACTGACTTATGACCTCAGTGGCATCTGACCATAGTGACATCTGACCCCACTGACCTTACTTAGTACTTACAACCTCTGACATCTGACCTTACTGACACCTGACTTTACTTAGTACTTACGACCTTTGACATCTGACCTTTGTGACATCTTACCTCACTGACATGTGTTTTGTTTGCAGCAACTCAAGTGGAACGAATGACTTGGTGCTGAAGAACAAGGTTCAGTTCTCTGAGTTCCTGGAAGACCCCATGTTCTCCATCATCTTCTCCCTTGAGTATGTGATCGGGGAGCCACTCACAGCTAAAGACAGGAAGGTAACATACAAAAACCTGACATCTTCATTCACTTTTTAGATCTGCATAATGCCCTTGTGATACTTTGTGGTTTGTGTTTTGTTGGAAGAAAGTTTAAATGACTCTATGTTGACAGATATCCTTGAGCTTTGCCCGTGCACACACCCGAACTGTATCGGTCAGATGGGCAGCATGGAGCCCACTACAACACCCCAGCAATCGTGATGTCACAATATCTCTGGTGGGGGGACCTCATCGATCACCTGACGAGGGCTTTGTCTACAAGATGCCATCAACAGACATGCAAGACAACGAGGTCGCAAGGTTGGCCGGGGGATATGTCTTCCTACAGTGGTCAACTGACGCCAAGGTGAGTCATAACGTGCTGTCAATCAGAGGTCCCGAGGTTGGCCCGGGGATACATCCTCCTACAGTGGTCCGCTGATGCAAAGGTGAGTCATAACATACTGTCATTCAAAGGATGCGAGGTTGGCTGGGGATACATCATCCTACAGTAGTCCACTGATGTCAAGGTGAGCCATAACGTACTGTCAGTCAGAGGTCGCAAGGTTGGCTGGGGATACATCCTCCTACAGTGGTCCACTGATGCCAATGTAATCATAAAGTACTGTCAGTCAGAGGTCGCAAGGTTGGCCGGGGATACATCCTCCTAGAGTGGTCCACTGATGTCAAGGTGAGTCATAACGTACTGCCAGTCAGAGGTCGCGAGGTTGGCCGGGGGATACATCCTCCTACAGTGGTCCACTGATGCCAATGTAATCATAAAGTACTGTCAGTTTGAGGCCGCGAGGTTGGCCGGGGATACATCCTCCTAGAGTGGTCCACTGATGTCAAGGTGAGTCATAACGTACTGCCAGTCAGAGGTCGCGAGGTTGGCCGGGGGATACATCATCCTACAGTGGTCCACTGATGCCAAGGTGAGTCATAAAGTACTGTCAGTTTGAGGCCGCGAGGTTGGCCCGGGGATACATCTTCCTACAGTGGTCCACTGATAGGTTGGTGGGAGTATATCTTCCTGGAGTGGTCCACTGATAGGTCGGTGGGAGAACATCTTCTTAGAGTGGTCTACTGATGTCACAAGGTTGGTGGGAGTACATCTTCCTGGAGTGGTCCACTGATGTCACTAGGTGGGTGGGAGTACATCTTCCTGGAGTGGTCCACTGATAGGTTGGTGGGAGTACATCTTCATGGAGTGGTCCACTGATGTCACTAGGTGGGTGGGAGTACATCATCCTAGAGTGGTCCACTGATAGGTTGGTGGAAGTACATCTTTCTGGAGACCAGGTCCACTGATGTCACTAGGTTGGTGGGAGAACATCTTCCTGGAGTGGTCTACTGATGTCACTAGGTGGGTGGGAGTACATCTTCCTGGAGTGGTCCACTGATAGGTTGTTGGGAGAACATCTTCCTTGAGTGGTCTACTGATAGGTTGGTGGAAGTACATCTTCATGGAGTGGTCTACTGATGTCACTAGGTGGGTGGGAGAACATCTTCATGGAGTGGTCTTCTGATGCCTTACCTAGTGTCTTACCTTGCAGGACATGTTGACGCTGCCGATGGGCTCCCCGCATGGCGTAAGTCTTCGTCTAGGCTCCATGCCATCGGTCCGGAGCCTGGACAGTGGAGGGGAGCTGGACATGGCCTGGAAACCTCCTTCAGGCAGATCCAAGTGAGACAAATAGTGGAGATAGTTCCATCAGACCCTGTGTTGTCCTTTCTGTAAGACAAATAGTGGAGATAGTTCCATCAGACCCTGTGTTGTCCTTTCTGTAAGACAAATAGTGGAGATAGTTCCATCAGACCCTGGGTTGTCCTTTCTGTAAGACAAATAGTGGAGATAGTTCCATCAGACCCTGTGTTGTCCTTTCTGTAAGACAAATAATGGAGATAGTTCCATCAGACTTGGTGTTTTCCTTTCTGTAAAACAAATAGTGGAGATAGTTCCATCAGACTTGGTGTTTTCCTTTCTGTAAAACAAATAATGGAGATAGTTCCATCAGACTTGGTGTTTTCCTTTCTGTAAAACAAATAGTGGAGATAGTTCCATCAGACCCTGGGTTGTCCTTTCTGTAAGACAAATAATGGAGATAGTTCCATCAGACTTGGTGTTTTCCTTTCTGTAAGACAAATAGTGGAGATAGTTCCATCAGACCCTGTGTTGTCCTTTCTGTAAGACAAATAATGGAGATAGTTCCATCAGACTTGGTGTTTTCCTTTCTGTAAAACAAATAGTGGAGATAGTTCCATCAGACTTGGTGTTTTCCTTTCTGTAAAACAAATAATGGAGATAGTTCCATCAGACTTGGTGTTTTCCTTTCTGTAAAACAAATAGTGGAGATAGTTCCATCAGACCCTGGGTTGTCCTTTCTGTAAGACAAATAATGGAGATAGTTCCATCAGACTTGGTGTTTTCCTTTCTGTAAGACAAATAGTGGAGATAGTTCCATCAGACCCTGTGTTGTCCTTTCTGTAAGACAAATAATGGAGATAGTTCCATCAGACTTGGTGTTTTCCTTTCTGTAGGACAAATAGTGGAGATAGTTCCATCAGACCCTGGGTTGTCCTTTCTGTAAGACAAATAATGGAGATAGTTCCATCAGACCCTGTGTTGTCCTTTCTGTAAGACAAATAATGGAGATAGTTCCATCAGACTTGGTGTTTTCCTTTCTGTAAAACAAATAGTGGAGATAGTTCCATCAGACCCTGGGTTGTCCTTTCTGTAAGACAAATAATGGAGATAGTTCCATCAGACTTGGTGTTTTCCTTTCTGTAAGACAAATAGTGGAGATAGTTCCATCAAACCCTGTGTTGTCCTTTCTGTAAGACAAATAATGGAGATAGTTCCATCAGACTTGGTGTTTTCCTTTCTGTAGGACAAATAGTGGAGATAGTTCCATCAGACCCTGGGTTGTCCTTTCTGTAAGACAAATAATGGAGATAGTTCCATCAGACCCTGTGTTGTCCTTTCTGTAAGACAAATAATGGAGATAGTTCCATCAGACTTGGTGTTTTCCTTTCTGTAAAACAAATAGTGGAGATAGTTCCATCAGACCCTGGGTTGTCCTTTCTGTAAGACAAATAATGGAGATAGTTCCATCAGACTTGGTGTTTTCCTTTCTGTAAGACAAATAGTGGAGATAGTTCCATCAGACCCTGGGGTGTCCTTTCTGTAAGACAAATAGTGGAGATTGTTCCATCGATATCAAACCCTGTCTTGTCCTTTCTGTAAGACAAATAGTGGAGATTGTTTCATCAAACCCTGGGTTGTCCTTTCTGTAAGACAAATACTAGAGAATGTTTCATCAAACCCTTGGGTGTCCTTTCTGTAAGACAAATACTGGAGATTGTTCCATCAAACCCTGGGGTGTCCTTTTCTGATAATTTTCTGTAAACGGGATTAAACGTTGCAGTTTGATGAAAAGAAATGTCTGTGTTTGTGAAGGTTAATATCATGTTACAAATGTAATTTGAAATTTTGAATTGTTTAGAAAATTATATGTACCCATATCATTTTTATTGCTTGGTCCAAATGTATGAGTAGATTTCTCAACATGTGCATTAGACATTCTAAAGGAAAAGGCACTTTCTGAATTCATATGACTTGTGGATTAAAGATATGTTTCTAATGTTTAAGTTCAGGACCTGGGTTGTGGGGGATTAGGGACTAGATGATCAGGGACCTTGCCATGGGTAGTGCATGTGTAGTTTCTCATTCAGCAGATGTTGGTTGCCTGATTCTTCCAGGTTCCGAGCAGTGATTTACACACAAGACACTGTATACAGGTCACTGACTTGGAGCAGATGTTGGTTGCCTGGTTCCTCCAGGTTCCCAGCAGTGATTTACAAACAAGACACTGTATACAGGTCAATGACTTGGAGCAGATGTTGGTTGCCTGATTCTTCCAGGTTCCGAGCAGTGATTTACACACAAGACACTGTATACAGGTCAATGACTTGGAGCAGATGTTGGTTGCCTGGTTCCTCTAGGTTCCCAGCAGTGATTTACACACAAGACACTGTATACAGGTCACTGACTTGGAGCAGATGTTGGTTGCCTGGTTCCTCCATGTTCCCAGCAGTGATTTACACACAAGACACTGTATACAGGTCACTGACTTGGAGCAGATGTTGGTTGCCTGGTTCCTCTAGGTTCCCAGCAGTGATTTACACACAAGACACTGTATACAGGTCATTGACTTGGAGCAGATGTTGGTTGCCTGGTTCCTCTAGGTTCCCAGCAGTGATTTACACACAAGACACTGTATACAGGTCAATGACTTGGAGCAGATGTTGGTTGCCTGATTCCTCTAGGTTCCCAGCAGTGATTTACACACAAGACACTGTATACAGGTCACTGACTTGGAGCAGATGTTGGTTGCCTGGTTCCTCTAGGTTCCCAGCAGTGATTTACACACAAGACACTGTATACAGGTCAATGACTTGGAGCAGATGTTGGTTGCCTGGTTCCTCTAGGTTCCCAGCAGTGATTTACACACAAGACACTGTATACAGGTCACTGACTTGGAGCAGATGTTGGTTGCCTGGTTCCTCCAGGTTCCCAGCAGTGATTTACAAACAAGACACTGTATACAGGTCAATGACTTGGAGCAGATGTTGGTTGCCTGATTCTTCCAGGTTCCGAGCAGTGATTTACACACAAGACACTGTATACAGGTCAATGACTTGGAGCAGATGTTGGTTGCCTGGTTCCTCTAGGTTCCCAGCAGTGATTTACACACAAGACACTGTATACAGGTCACTGACTTGGAGCAGATGTTGGTTGCCTGGTTCCTCCATGTTCCCAGCAGTGATTTACACACAAGACACTGTATACAGGTCACTGACTTGGAGCAGATGTTGGTTGCCTGGTTCCTCTAGGTTCCCAGCAGTGATTTACACACAAGACACTGTATACAGGTCATTGACTTGGAGCAGATGTTGGTTGCCTGGTTCCTCTAGGTTCCCAGCAGTGATTTACACACAAGACACTGTATACAGGTCAATGACTTGGAGCAGATGTTGGTTGCCTGATTCCTCTAGGTTCCCAGCAGTGATTTACACACAAGACACTGTATACAGGTCACTGACTTGGAGCAGATGTTGGTTGCCTGGTTCCTCTAGGTTCCCAGCAGTGATTTACACACAAGACACTGTATACAGGTCAATGACTTGGAGCAGATGTTGGTTGCCTGGTTCCTCTAGGTTCCCAGCAGTGATTTACACACAAGACACTGTATACAGGTCAATGACTTGGAGCAGATGTTGGTTGCCTGGTTCCTCCAGGTTCCCAGCAGTGATTTACACACAAGACACTGTATACAGGTCAATGACTTGGAGCAGAAGTTGGTTGCCTGGTTCCTCTAGGTTCCCAGCAGTGATTTACACACAAGACACTGTATACAGGTCAATGACTTGGAGCAGATGTTGGTTGCCGGATTCCTCTAGGTTCCCATCAGTGATTTACACACAAGACACTGTATACAGGTCACTGACTTGGAGCAGATGTTGGTTGCCTGGTTCCTCTAGGTTCCCAGCAGTGATTTACACACAAGACACTGTATACAGGTCACTGACTTGGAGCAGATGTTGGTTGCCTGGTTCCTCTAGGTTCCCAGCAGTGATTTACACACAAGACACTGTATACAGGTCACTGACTTGGAGCAGATGTTGGTTGCCTGGTTCCTCCAGGTTCCCAGCAGTGATTTACACACAAGACACTGTATACAGGTCAATGACTTGGAGCAGAAGTTGGTTGCCTGGTTCCTCTAGGTTCCCAGCAGTGATTTACACACAAGACACTGTATACAGGTCACTGACTTGGAGCAGATGTTGGTTGCCTGGTTCCTCCAGGTTCCCAGCAGTGATTTACACACAAGACACTGTATACAGGTCAATGACTTGGAGCAGATGTTGGTTGCCTGGTTCCTCCAGGTTCCCAGCAGTGATTTACACACAAGACACTGTATACAGGTCAATGACTTGGAGCAGAAGTTGGTTGCCTGGTTCCTCTAGGTTCCCAGCAGTGATTTACACACAAGACACTGTATACAGGTCAATGACTTGGAGCAGATGTTGGTTGCCGGATTCCTCTAGGTTCCCATCAGTGATTTACACACAAGACACTGTATACAGGTCACTGACTTGGAGCAGATGTTGGTTGCCTGGTTCCTCTAGGTTCCCAGCAGTGATTTACACACAAGACACTGTATACAGGTCACTGACTTGGAGCAGATGTTGGTTGCCTGGTTCCTCCATGTTCCCAGCAGTGATTTACACACAAGACACTGTATACAGGTCACTGACTTGGAGCAGATGTTGGTTGCCTGGTTCCTCTAGGTTCCCAGCAGTGATTTACACACAAGACACTGTATACAGGTCATTGACTTGGAGCAGATGTTGGTTGCCTGGTTCCTCTAGGTTCCCAGCAGTGATTTACACACAAGACACTGTATACAGGTCAATGACTTGGAGCAGATGTTGGTTGCCTGATTCCTCTAGGTTCCCAGCAGTGATTTACACACAAGACACTGTATACAGGTCACTGACTTGGAGCAGATGTTGGTTGCCTGGTTCCTCTAGGTTCCCAGCAGTGATTTACACACAAGACACTGTATACAGGTCAATGACTTGGAGCAGATGTTGGTTGCCTGGTTCCTCTAGGTTCCCAGC